ACAGATGATGGGATTTGCATCTAAAAATGATAGCACATTATATACCAACTCCTTTCAGTTCCATTTCTTATAATAATATAATCCCTGATACACAAAGAAAATTTTGATAATTTGACAAAAACTGGCCATAACATTGCCCCACACTTAAAATTGTGTACCCTCCCATTCCCCCAACCCTGCCTCTTTGTTTACCATAGTGAATCCTTTCCAAACTTCTGCCTCACTTTCCCCCTACATGCAACCCAACACCCTAGCCAAACTGGACATCTCACTATTTCCCAAAGTCACTCACTCTCTGCCTAGAAAGTCTGACACTGTCCTAAATAATGAGAAGCTGAGATTTGGTGCATGAGGCTTATTAGGGAGCTCTCAGGAAGACCTGAGAGGGAGAGAGGGACACAGGACTGAGCAGAGAAAGTTGAACCACAATGCGTCCAAAGCTGAGGTCTTAGCCGATCACACGTGAAGCTCTGGAGTTGAGATGGCCCTTTAGGAATGTCATAAATCATGTCTAGGGGCTGTGCGCTCTACTCCACATTGACCAGTCATTGGAGGTGGGCTTCCCCAAGGGAAGGGGCATAGCTTTTGGCAAAAGAAAGTTCTCAGAGAGGGACTCAGCTGAGATCCTTCAGCAGCCGAGCCTCCCTGCATTGGGCAATGGGTGTCTCCTCCTGAGGCACGTCTGGGAAGTACCCTACCACATCCACTACTCTAATTACCAAACCACTGCTCAGCCCTCAAGGCCCATATTTACCAATGCCTCACCATGAAGTCCACTCTGACCCTGTATTCTCTCCTTCTTCATACTTGAAATACGGCTACCACATCTTGCATTAACACTGAGTTTAGAAATCACAAAGCTCAAAATATATACTACTTGGTACCACTTCTCAAAATTCTAGAGAACGTAGGGAATGAGAAAGTCATACCCCTTTTAACCACGTTTAATGATGCGTGTTCTTCTTAGTTAAAATTTCCACGACCTCAGCATACTTAAGCATACTCAATGCTTCTTAGTCTGGTTCCTCATTTTGTTTATAGGAAAGAATATTTCGTTGGTAATGATACAATTCTACTCTTACACAACATTCATTGGGGTTTTCATTTCCTTTATTTGTTGAATAATTTTTCTTTATAAACTATTCTCTTGAAAATATAACAAGAAGTACTATACACTGAAAGGAAAAAGTCAGACCAGAGAAGCAGGGTCAGGTTTAATAAGAAATCTTCCAAGTTAACAAAAGTACACAAAAGTATCAGCCATGAAGAAAATATGGTTGTAGAGAAAATCCAGTATTCATTAGAAGTATACCTATCTGGCTACCTTAAGAAGAGAAGAAGTGAATATTAATAGCATATCTGTGTCATCATTTCACATACTGGAATGATTTATTGAATAAAAAACGGTTGCTTTGCAGTAAATAGGTTACATGAATGAAAAAAAATGAATAAAATGAATGAACCCAAATTCTTCTATCAAATAGAATATATGTGTGAAATATATATATATATATGTTTGTTTATACAGGTTTATAAAATATATAATATGATGTGTATATATTTTACATGATTTATATAGAGATGTGTATATGTGTACACATGTGCGCATTAGGGAAATACACACACATACAAACATTTCCCTAACAAATTATACATATCTGCTCTCTTTTAGGAAATTACAACACTTCACTCTGACTGACCATTGCAAAGTAAATGGCCAAAGTACCTTCAGCTCCAAGTCAGCACTACAGCCTTCTACATATGATCCCTCCGATGCATCCAAATCTACAATACAACACCCTACACGGTACCACCATTAGACCCAGGCAAGCGGCTCACCCCCATCCATACCTCAGGATACCCGTGCTTTGAAGGTCCTGTGCAAATTTTTCTAAGTCTTCCTCAGGTGCCTGGGATCAACCAGAGCTAGCAGTGTCATCCAGGTTGGGGACCCCCATCCCAGACCATAAATTGCATGGGCCCTAGCCCCCACTTCTTTTCAGGGAACTCTTCAACCCTCTGCCTCAGGGTAGGGTTGAACAGATGCCCTAAGAAACCCCAGACCTCAAATCTCTTGGTTGTCTGGGGCCTGTGGTCAGGCCCTGTTCTAGGAGGTTAGCGTGGCAAATGGGTCACCCCCACTCGCCAGCATAATATTGGGTCACCAGAATGGTGCTGGCATACTGATTTCAGGTGACTCACTTATGGTGGACGTAGGGTGATTCAGGGCTGTGGGTCACTGTCCACTTTTGGACTTGAGCCTGGTGTTTGTATGCTTGTCAGTGTTCCCACTGCAGTGCTGCCTCTAGTCACACTGGACCCCACCTTCGATGCTGGCTCAGGGGTGGTCACCCCAATCTCACATGCTCCTTGCCACATGTCAGGCAGTCCTCGGGAATGGCCTCACTCACCTCCTCCAAGGTTTTCAGAGACTGTTCCTCCACGATGCAAATGGCCACAGACCCTTGCAATACATGTCCCCTTTTCTCTGATCAATGTGGTGACACTGCATTTTCCCAGGTTGGTCTTTTCGTGGGAATGGAACGACTCTTCTCACCGGGCCCACAGGACCCTCTCCCATCATCAACATTAAAGAGATCACTAAGACTGCAGTAATTATAGCCTAAAGTATTCAAGAGAACATGTGGTTGAAAAATGTGTTATTCTACATTTATATTATACGCTTGCAAACAGTAAATGTAACATGATCCAAAATGAATTATTGGTCCCCTTTTTTGGGGGGTAAGAGGGGCAGGGGGCATACTCTGGGTAAAGTTTGCATTTGTGTTCATCAGCAAAGAATCACAGTAACAATTCTTAAGAGTCAGTGGAGGGCCGGCCGAGTGGCGCGTTGGTTAAAAGCTGGCTTGGGATGCCAGAGGGCCTCAGTTCGGATCCCACATATGAGGGCCAGTGATGCTCCCCTCCACAGCTAAGATGCTGCACAACAGCTCAACCTGGAGCTGGGTTAGCGTGAGTTGCCAGCGACCGGCATAGGCTGCAGCCCCTGCTGCAGTGGGTTGTCATGGGCTTCCGTGTGTAGCCAGCAGCCAGCGTGAGCAGACCTCAAGCTGCCGTGAGTGGCTGTCCAGTAGCCGGCGACTGATCTGCCTCGCCTGGGAGGAGCACAATGATGGTGCCAACTTGGGCCAGTGAAGCAATGTCCTCCACAACTAGATTGAAGAACAAAACGACAGCAACTTGTCTGTTCCCCTTCCCCCAATTCCCCAGCGCTGTTCCCATCCCCCAATTCCCCAATAAAAATCTTAAAAAAAAAAAAAGAGTCAGTGGAAGCCAGTATTCATAAGCAGCACAATGGAGGATGAAGTGCCATAAGTGGCACTATGACCAGCACTAAATAAATGACTGGAGACCTGAAAAGGTAAGACGATCTATCCATATTGCTTCAATATAAATACGCTCCAAAGAGCTGTGGCATTGTGAATGATAACATATTTCTCACCTTTCTTCCATGGTGGGAGATAGGAAGCTAGCCAGCAATGGTGCATTTGGCAAAAAAGAAAACAGCGAGGTAGCTCCTGAATCTAACCAGGACGAGCTGGTGCCTAGATACCATGAAGAATCTTCACATGCCCTAACTGGACAATAAACAAATATGTATCACTTTTTACCCAACGAAATCTTCACTGATAAATTACTATTCTTCACATGGTTCATTAATTTTTTTTAACCAAATTGTTTATATAGATGGGGACCTGCAAAAAATATTTTCCCAGGGCTCTGTACAGCCTAAAGGTGGTCCTGGTCCTATGTGAGTTTTAAAAAAATTGTACAGAAACCCAGAGATACTGACTAAACAATAATTTTCACAAGCCCTTTTTTTAGTGCAAAAATTCTCTGAATGCTTTCCAGATTGTGATGAATATCATTCATTGGAGTCACTTGATGACACTTGGTAGCAATCCAATGGAATTTTTGAAAAATATATTGACTCTTAAAATCAAAATAAATGTTAAGACCAGTGATACTTGTCAGTCATACTCTTACTTATTTTTGTTATGCGCTACTTAAAGTGAAAATTCTATAATTGTTTTACATTTGAATTAAAGGTAATTTCATATTTAAAGACAACCTATCATAGCACTGACCCAAGATGCTCACTAAATCTGACCCAGCTGCTTCACGAACTTCTTCTTTTCTCTCTCTCACCTTGAAGTAGTCTAGAGCCCAATAAACCAATGACAACATTTCCTTGTGTTCATAACCTCCTGAGAAGAGACCCCATCACTTTGTCCCATCACCCATTCCAGTGTCAAACAATGTCCACACTGTTTTCCACGTGTGGCACTCATCCATGACATGATGGACATCTCTGTGAGTTGACTCTCCATGTCTCTGGGGTCCTAACCAGACACCTCCAGTGAGCCCGTCCAAGTTTATCCAGGCAAATAAAACATCTTGAAGGGGCAGATAGCTGTTCAATAAAGACCATACCTTACATCTCTCTGAATTTATCTGCTGCTTTCATAGACTCAAAATATTTCTTAAAACCTTTAAAAATTCATTCCCAGACATGCTAATAAATCCCTTCCCTGAAAAAAAAAAAAAGGAAGCTCCTTTGATTAACTCTGCGATAAGCTATTAACATCAGTCTGTGTCCTTCCTAGCATTTTTGTTTTGGTTTTTACGCTTCTTCCAGTTGCCGCTTTTCCTATTTGAAATGAACATCTCCCGACTTTCACCCATGTGAAAGAAACATGTTATTCAGCTTCTATTCTGTCACGGGGTTTGCCTGACAGATTACCTCAGTCCTTACAAAGTAGAAAGGTGAAGTTCCATTATGCTAGCTTGTGAGTCCAGCTGCACTGGCAGCCCACCACCACCGAGCCCTCCCTCCCACACCCTAAAAGTGCAGAATGTATTTCCCCTTAGACGTGCCCAAGCTAATGCCTGGTGGCTTTTGAGGCTTTGGAACACATTTGACATCTAGGTGTGAGAAGCGAAAGCTAGAATGCAATGATTGACATCTGTACAATTTATGAATTTCATATGTTAAAAAACTGGAGCTCTCTTTTATTCACTGCAAATGACCTTAAATTAGTTCACAAACTGATGGTGGGAAACTTAAGCTTAAGTCAAAGTAATCTTAGTCACTGGTTTACTCCAGTCTCCTTGGGAGGGTATCGTCAGTCATTTCAGGATGCCCCCTTCCATTTCTTTTTTCCTTATCTCCATGGGGTGATCCAAGTTGGGGGTCGGGGGGGGGGGCGCGCTGAAACTTCCTGGCACCAGGCTGCAGTCATCAGTAAGCGTGATGCTCAAACTATTTAACAAGCAGTAGGGTATAGGCACCAAACAATCAGAACAAACACCAACACACACAACTGGTAAGGCCTTGCTGGTGGTTGCCAGGTGATGTGAACCCAGTCCATCGCAGCCATCCACTGACTTCCAATGGAGTTTGTTCTTTATCCTGGGATCTACCATTATGGCATCCATGGTTGAAACGCCTGCATCCCGTTCTGTTCTCGGGTTGATGGGTCCTCGAAGGTCACGCAGATAACTCCAGACACTATTGAATAGTTTGACATCTAGACATGAGAGAGGAAAATTAGACTGCAATGATTCATCCGTGTAGCAGTGATGGATTTTACATGTTGAAAATGGCAAACGCAAGATGCTCCTTTTACACACTCATCTCAGGGCGATGGGAATTTTTGATTCTCTGCTGTCTCCTGGGGCAGCAGGCAGCAGGGGTGCTGCTTTAGACTTTCTCTGCCCAGACCTTCCTGTTGCCTTTTATACTTTGCAGAGCCATGCTGGAACGGCACTTACCTACAGGAATTGCTTTCCTTCCCTTGAGCTTCATCAGGCAGCATGGTACGAGGCCCCAAATCCATCCTATCCTATCCGTACGTTCCCCAAAAGCTTGATAGAAGGGGAACCGGGCACTAAATGCTTGTTCCTGCTCCTCACCATCCTCTAACCTCTATTTCTCCTCCTGGGTGCCTGATGCTCAAACCTGATCTCCCTTATGCAGGAAAACATTTGCGAGAAAAGCCATTCCTTCCTACTCTGTGGTTTGGCGTAAACTCTATGCAGTGGAACTGCCAGGCTCTTAAGCTTTTGGAGCTCAGGCTCTTGTAGTAAAAAATTCTCAACTTTCAAGAGTATTGTCTCTCTGGGGACTTTAAAAAATAAATTCAGAAACTCAACTGACTCCTCAGAATCAGCTATTTTAGCCTTCCCCCTAAAGTAATACGTTCCATTGATACAATGGGTGGAGGGCAGCAAAGAAGTAAGGAAACTATAAAAATGAAAACAAACACCCCCCCCAAAAAAACCCTCATTATCTCCAAACTGTATCCTTTGCACACATTTTAGAAGAGGTTCTTTTGACATCCAAGACAAAGATCCAGAGGCCAATAAAATAATCTACACTGATAATTAATCAGTGCCATACTTAGGATGTACATATCAAGAATGCATCAATAAGATGTGAAAATATTTAAAATCTTCATTAAGAAAATTCTACTCCATTTAATATACCACTTGTTCAATGATCTCAACTCAAGGAAAATTCAAGGTAGGATACTTATCTTCTACTTTTTTCCTTAAGAAAATATTTCAAGAAACCACACTCTTCACATACGTGTCATCTTCTTCTAAAAGTCTTCCCTCTGTAGAAGGAAGGAGGTGACTTTAAGGACACTTAATATTTTTCACACTGAATTTTAAGGGCTGATGGTATGAGTCAACCAACACCTAGGGATGCTAACAATTTGCTTTCTTGTTTTTAACACTGGTTTAAAAGGAATACCTTCCATCTTGGTTTGCCCCCACCCCACCCCAATACAGTAATAATGGTGCCAACTTGGGCCAGTGAAGCAATGTCCTCCACAACTAGACAACAGAACAAAACGACAGCAACTTGTCTGTTCCCCTTCCCCCAATTCCCCAGCGCTGTTCCCATCCCCCAATTCCCCAATAAAAATCTTAAAAAAAAA